AACTCCTAAACTCTAAACCCCTACACCCTACACCCTACACCCTAAACCCTAAACCCTAAACCCCTAAACTCCTAAACCCGAAACTCCTAAACTCAACCCTAACCTCCTAAACTCCAAACCTAAGTAAACCATCCATCGACTTCGCCGGCTCGAGGGCTCGCAACAGTCGCCCTTCTCTGCGTAGCCGTTCTTTTCGCCTCCCCCCGGGCAAGTCGCAACCTCCGCCAGGTTTAGGGTTTAGGGTTTAGGGTTTAGGGTTTAGGGCTTAGGGCCTAGTTTAGGGTTTAGGGCTTAGGAACTTTCGCAACCTGGTAGCGTTTAAAACCCCACGCCACTCGAGTGATGGTGTTTAGGGTTTAGGGTCTGGAGACTTACCCAGTCATACTATCTAGTTCATTATATAGCATGAGATACCCCAGCCCCATACTACCAAGCCCACAGCTCCTGCCCACCTCACGCGACACTGCAGTGCATGCGAATTTGCGCCCGACATGGCGCATGCCACACGCGGCCGAAGTCCTTTCAGGCAGCCGCGAGATTATCTCGGGGTCTGTGGTTCAGGGTTTGGGGTTTACGGTTTAGGGTTTAGGGTTTAGGGTGTCACATACATGGTCCCTGAAGGACTACTTAGAATTGATATAGAAGCCTACAAAATTACCAAAATCATTCCTTTGGGTTCCTTATTATAACCATACTACACAGGAACCCCCAACCCTAGTCGAATTAGTAAAGCCCCCACGCTGCACGAATACACCCCGGAAGGCCCTGGGACGATTTAGGGTTTAGGGTTTCTAGAAGCCTGTTACTTTGGGTTTAGGGTTTAGGGTTTAGGGTTTAGGGGTTTCGGGTTTCGGGTCCGGTCATCGATGCATTGCCAAGGCAGAACACGCTCTCTCACGTTACCAGAGGGGCCTTAATAAATATCTATACTATTTTGGGGGTTCCTTATTATAGCTATAGTATAATACAACCCAATAACTTATTATACTTATTCAGGCCCCTACACTATAGCTGTTGTATGTTGTTGCAGTCTTTCTAGTTACGGAACCTGTTGTGCAGGCAACAATAATCTATCTATGTCGGCATGTACGTATTGATGCATGTATGCAAGTGCTTGCACACGCATATATGGACGTATGTATACGTCGGTAGCTGCAGCGGTCGTTCGAACTGCGTTCGTCTGGCCGTCTTGCCATATAATGTTATATGCGAAACACTAGCAGCGATAATGACAAAAGATAGTGATAGTAATAGCAACAATGATAATACTAGCAATCGCAATAATGCGCATGGTGGTAATGAAAAGACCATCAGTAATAGTAACATAAAAAGTAGCAGTAATAGTAATAAAATCAGTAATGATAATAAGAGTACTACTAATCATATATGAAAAAGCGTAAGGACAAAGAAATAGCAGCAGAGCTAGCAATACTGATTGCAACAACAATGGGAGCCTAGCAATAGGACCAATAATAAAATACTGGTAGGAATGGTAAGAGTAATGGCCATATTGATAAAATATGCCGCTGTATCCTGTTGGCTGATATGTTGTAATACTAACATATGATATAGCTGAAGACAAGGTAATATGACTAAAGTGCATAATATATGAAACCCTAAACCCTAAACCCTAAACCCTAAACCCTATATGCGTTTGGCAGACCTCCTCTTCTATGCTTCTGAATAGTGGACGAGATGGCCACCAGTGCTTCAATAGACTGGTTTTTCTATTCCATCATTAAAAGGTTAGAAGTATGGGCCCCTAATATGGACCTTTAGGCCTTTCTAGGGGCCCTTATGGGTACATATAGGGTCTAAAGTAGGTGTATAAGGATCCCAGGGTTAAGGGCCCATACTAGGGGCCCATGGGTTCAACCTTAGAACCATGCTGCAACGAGTGAGATAGCAGCAGCGGGCATGCTTAAGTTGTAGGTCACACACCTCAACCCTCAACCCTAAACCCTCAACCCTAAACCCTAAACCCTCAACCCTAAACCCTAAACCCTAAACCCTAAACCCTAAACCCCTAAGCCTCCCAGGGTCGGTCCGCTTCGCGTGACCTCGGCGCTGTATAA